AAAGGCAAGAACGCGAAGTCATGCGCCAAGCCGCGATGTCTGACGATTTGAATTTGGGCCAGCTTGCTCGGCGCGAACACTGCCCTAAGAAGCTCCCAGACAGTTTCCAGCAGGGTCCGTAGCTTTCTGGTTCAAGTTGCATTGTGTTCCATTAGTTCGTTGAACGCTTCGACAACCGGGTCAGCTGCTCCAGCTTTGATCCATGCCGCGTAACGCAAGCCCGTTAATTTTCTCGTTAGTTTCTCGTTGGTACTTGCGTGCTGTGGGGCCACCGTTCGCAGAGCCGTTTTTCATGATGCCAAGCTCCGTCCTCCCAATCACCGCTTGACCAGGTTGCCCACCCTGCGCGTTTCTAGCCCATTGAAGGATCAGGCTGGCAGTCGTTCTACATCGAGTAGCTCTGCGGCATGGTGTGGCGCAGCCGGTATCCTTGCTATCGCAGTTGCGGGGTATGGGCGCAGTGTCGGAACGAGCGCCAGGAAGGCGTTCGACCCGGCAGAGCAGCAGGGCGTGACCGAGCCTCTCGGATTCTTTGACCCAGCCGGCTTCAGCAAGGGCAAGGATGAGGCAGGATTCCGCAATCTCAGGGTAGCTGAGCTCAAACACGGCAGAGTGGCGATGATGGCTTCTGTCGGAATGGTCCTGCCGCATTTTTGGAAGGCTCCCGGTTTTCAGGACGTGCCTTCTGGCATTGGAGCCGTCCCTTCACAGAGCGGCGGTGGCCGTCTTTGTTGAACTGTTCTGGGGCGGGCTTGGACGAGCTGGTTTTGTGGAAGATGACGCCTCCAAAATGCTGGTGATTTCGGCGATCCCTTCAGGATTCAGCAGTCGATCAATGTGGATCGGAATTACGAGATCAACAACGGTCGCATGGCAATGTTTGCGGTGCTAGGTCAGATCATTGCCGAGCTCGCCACGGGAAAAGACGCAGTGAGTCAATTGATGGGCTAGTTTTCTATGTTAGTCTTGGACAGGTCAAGTCGTGGTTCAACGCTCTCCGCCTTACAGGTGCCACGCATTTTTCGTTCCGGGGGTTTTCGCATCCTCATTTTCAATTCGGCAGTCACCTTGTGACGCTGACCTTACTCAGGATGCTTGCGCTATTCCGCCGACTCCCATAAAATGGAGAGGGAGGAAGGGGATCAAATGAACGACGTTGACGAAGTTGGTCTGGTCGGTTTTTGTTCCCCCTCTTGGGGCTTTTTCGGGCACCTCTTGGGGCACCCTTGTGAGGGGCCTCTTTCCGCCGTCTTGGGGCGATCTTCCCCAATCAGTGCTTGCACTGAAGGGGTCCTAGCGGAAGTTGAATTTCCCGCCGACGTTGGTAGCAGGTTGGGTTCCCGGGTTCCCAGTTCCAGGTTCCCGGGTTCCCAGTTATTGGTTCGGGCCGATTTCGGTGGGTTCTGGGTTCTTGGGCTCCCAGGTTCCCAGTCGATCTCTCCAGCGAAAACCATCCACTGATTGGGGTTTCTCTCTGGTGTAATTTAAGGTTTTTCGGGTCGTTTTGGGGCATCGGAAACATTGAGAAGGCGATGACGCGTTGACTTCTTCAAAGCCTAGGGATAATCTATGTTTTTGGCCTCGTGGGGGACCTCTTGGAGAGCTCTTGGGGTGTATTGGGGGCCCTTTGGGCCGCCTGGATCACGCGTTGAGCGTCTTGGCGCTCTTGGGCCGTCTCGGAGCTCTCTTGGCCCGTCCCGTGGCCTTCTTGGGGTCCTACTGGCCCGTCTTGGAGCGCTCTTTTCCCCTTCCGAGGGCCCCCGAAGGGCGTTGGCGAGCTCGTGCGCCCCCTTTCGCCTCGCCGCCTCGCCCCCCCATCGCCTCCCTCTAGCAGGATCCTAGACCCCGGGGGAGGGGGACAGCCGATCATCTCATGCGCCTTTGCGCCCCAGGCAAGCGGGGGTCGGCGGATACCGCGGCAGCTTGCTGGCGCGCCCATGTCGTGGCTCTCGTTCAGCACAGTCCTGCCCGCAAGCCATCGCTGATCACGGCAAGGTCTGCTTTCATCGCTCGCTTTGTTGGGCGCGTGCGTTCAGTTTTCAGAGGCCCGTGCTTGCGCGCCGTCCGAGGGGCGACTTGCCGCTGGCAGTTGGTCGGTGGCTCGGTGGGCTCTGCTGGTCAGGTGGACCGTCCAGCGCCGGCCCCGGCGCCAGCCCCTGGCCCGGCACCTGCCCCTGGGGCCGTCTCACGGCACGTCGGAAGTTTGTGCCGTTTTGGACGCCTTCAGGGCCGAAAAATGCCAGGACGCGGAGGTCACGCACGCGCGCGCACGCACGCGCGCCGCGCTTTTCGGAAAGAGTTCGCCTTCCATGGCCAGAGATGAGGGGCTCGAATGCGGGCCAAGAGGCCCCCGAGACGGCTCCAGCTTCGGCCCCTGGGGCCATCTCGCAGCATGCTGGAAGTTTGGATTCCACGCCGCGCCACATGTCAGTTCGAGGCCACACTCCCATCTCCCACCAGGGACAGCGGCCTCTCTCTGTCTCTCTCTCTCTCTCTTTCTCTTTCTCTCACTCTCTCTCTCTCTCTCTTTCTCTCTCTCTCTCTCTCTCTCGCATTCTTTCGTGTCTCGCTCCCTCCCCCTCTCTAGGACGACTCCTGAGTCCTCTAGGACGCCTCCTGGACGCCTCCATCTTGACCTCGACAGGCCCGCCTGGACCTCGCTCGACAGGCCTCCCCCAGACGGTCCAAAGTGGCGTCGAATAAGAATTACACCGTAAGGGTGTAAACTTTCCAGCCGCCCAGGGTCAGGCGCCCCCGACAACGAAAAAGTTTATGTTATACCGTTCTTCGCTCGCTGAAAAAAGCAGGACGCGGCAAGGCTAGGCAGGGCGAGACAGAGCTGGCACAAGGTGGCCCCAAGACGGTGCCCATCCCGCCGCCGTGGCCGGGTCGTGGGCCAGAGGCTCTTCGGATGCTTCCAGCGGTCTGGCGGCAGCTTTTCTGCCGTTCGTCGGGCTGTCTTTGAGGCCTCTTGGGCACCTCTTGGGAGCATCGGTGGCGGTCGTGGGGCGGTCTTGGGGACCCTGGGCCGTTCTGCACGCTCTTGAGGCCGAAAAGGCAAGAACGCGAAGTCATGCCCAAGCCGCGGATGTCTGAACGATTTGAATTTGGGCCAGCCTTGCTCGGCGCGAACACGGCCCAAGAAGCTCCCAAGAAAGTTCCAGCACGGGTCCGCAGCTTTCTGGCTCAAGTTGCATTGTGTTCATTAGTTGCGTTCAACGCATTCGACCAACTTGTCAGCTGCGCCAGCTTGATCCCATGCCGCGTAACGCAAGCCACGTTAGTTTCTCGTTGGTTCTTGCGTGCTGTGGGGCCACGTTCGCAGGCAGGTCTTCATGATGCCAGCTCGTCTCCCAATCACCGATCGTGTCTGTGCATGAGTCTGCGCCGGTTCTAGCCCATGCGCCCCAGCGGCGGCAGTCGTTCTACATCGAGTAGCTCTGCGGCATGGCTTGTGGACGCAGCCGGTATGCTTTGCTATCGCAGTAGTTGCGGGGTATGGGCGCAGGTCGGAAACGGAGCGCCAGAAGCGTTCGACCCGGCAGTGCAGCAGGGCGTGGAACCCGAGGCCTCTCGGATTCTTTGACCCAGCCGGCTTCAGCAGGGCAAGGATGAGGCAGGATCCAGCAATCTAGGGTAGCTTTTTTGTCCTTATATTCTTTGTTTCTTTACCTGTTTTTTTTTGTTTTGAGCTTGGGTTTGTGACTCAAACACGGCAGAGTGGCGATGATGGCTTCGGTCGGAATGGTCCTGCCGCATTTTTGGAAGGCTCTCGGTTTTCAGGACGTGCCTTCTGGCATTGGAGCCGTCTTCACAGAAGCGGGTGGTGCCGGCTTTGTTGCACTGTTCTTGGGGGCGGGCTTGCACGAGCTGGTTCTGTGGAAGGATGACGCCTCCAAAGACGCTGGTGATTTCGGCGATCCCTTCAGATTCAGCGAGTCGATCAATGTGGATCGGAATTACGAGATCAACAACGGTCGCATGGCAATGTTTGCGGTGCTAGGTCAGATCATTGCCGAGCTCGCCACGGGAAAAGACGCAGTGAGTCAATTGATGGGCTAGTTTTCTATGTTAGTCTTGGACAGGTCAAGTCGTGGTTCAACGCTCTCCGCCTTACAGGTGCCACGCATTTTTCGTTCCGAGGGTTTTCGCATCCTCATTTTCAATTCGACAGTCACCTTGTGACGCTGACCTTACTCAAGATGCTTGCGCTATTCCGCCGACTCCCATGAAATGGAGAGGGAGGAAGGGGATGAAATGAACGACGTTGACGAAGTTGGTCTGGTCGGTTTTTGTTCCCACTCTTGGGGCTTTTTCGGGCACCTCTTGGGGCAGCCTTGTGAGGGGCCTCTTTCGGCCGTCTTGGGGCGATCTTCCCCAATCAGCGCTTGCACTGAAGGGGTCCTCGCGGAAGTTGAATTTCCCGCCGATTTTGGTAGCAGGTTGGGTTCCCGGATTGCCAGTTCCGAGTTCCTTGGTTCCCGGGTTCCCGGTTATTGGTTCGGGCCGATTTCGGTGGGTTCTGGGTTCTTGGGCTCCCAGGTTCCCGGTCGATCTCTCCAGCGAAAACCATCCACTGATTGGGGCTTCTCTCTGGTGTAATTTAAGGTTTTCGGGTCGTTTTGGGGCATCGGAAACATTGAGAAGGCGATGACGCGTTGACTTCTTCAAAGCCTAGGGATAATCAATGTTTCTGGCCTCGTGGGGGACCTCTTGGAGAGCTCTTGGGATGCATTGGGGGCCCTTTGGGCCGCCTGGAGGACGCGTTGAGCGTCCTGGCGCTCTTGGGCCGTCTCGGAGCTCTCTTGGCCCGTCCCGTGGCCTTCTTGGGGCCCTACTGGCCCGTCTTGGAGCGCTCTTTTCCCCTTCCGAGGGCCCCCGAAGGGCGTTGGCGAGCTCGTGCGCCCCCTTTCCCCTCGCCCCAGCCGATCATCTCATGCGCCTTTGCTCCCCAGGCAAGCGGGGGTCGGCGGATACCGCAGCAGCTTGCCGGCGCGCCCATGTCGTGGCTCTCGTTCAGCACAGTCCTGCCCGCAAGCCATCGCTGATCACGGCAAGGTCTGCTTTCATCGCTCGCGTTGTTGGGCGCGTGCGTTCAGTTTTCAGAGGCCCGTGCTTGCGCGCCGTCCGAGGGGCGACTTGCGCTGGCAGTTGGTCGGTTGGTCGGCGGGCTCTGCTGGTTCAGGTGGGACCCGTCCTCTCAGCGCTGCCACCGGCGCCAGCCCACACTGCCCTGAACACACTAGACACCCCCGACTTTCCGCGTGAATGCGGGCACGTCTCACGGCACGTCGGAAGTTTGGTGCAGTTGGACGCCCTTTTTTTTCAGGGACCTGCGAAAAAAAATATAGCAGGAATGGCGAGTCACGACACGCTGCGCCGCAAACGCACGCGCGCCTCGCTTTTCGGAAAGCGTTCGCATCCTCCAGGGCCAGAAATCGAGTGGAATTTGTCTCGGAATGCGGGGGACAAGACGGTCCCCGAGACGGCTCCACTTCGGCCGGGGATGCCATCTCGACCCAGCATGCCATCATCATGGAATTCCACGCCGCGCCACATGTCAGTTCGGGGCCACACTCCCAATTCCCACCAGGGACAGCGGCCTCTCTCTGTCTCTCTCTCTGTCTCTCTCTCTCTCTCGCACTCTTTCGTGTCTCGCTCCCTCCCCCTCTCTAGGACGCCTCCTGAGTCCTCTAGGACGCCTCCTGGACGCCTCCATCTTGACCTCGACAGGCCCGCCTGGACCTCGCTCGACAGGCTTCCCCCAGACGGTCCAAAGTGGCGTCGAACAAAAAGCAGGACGCGGCAAGGCGAGGCAGGGCGAGACAGAGCTGGCACAAGGTGGCCCCAAGACGGTGCCCATCCCGCCGCCGTGGCCGGGTCGTGGGCCAGAGGCTTTTCGGATGCTTCCAGCGGTCTGGCGGCGGCTTTTCTGCCGTTCGTCGGGCTGTCTTTGAGGCCTCTTGGGCCCCTCTTGGGAGCATCGGTGGCGGTCGTGGGGCGGTCTTGGGGACCCTGGGCCGTTCTGGACGCTCTTGAGGCCGAAAAGGCAAGAACGCGAAGTCATGCCCAAGCCGCGGATGTCTGAACGATTTGAATTTGGGCCAGCCTTGCTCGGCGCGAACACGGCCCAAGAAGCTCCCAAGACAGTTCCAGCACGGGTCCGTAGCTTTCTGGTTCAAGTTGCATTGTGTTCATTAGTTGCGTTGAACGCATTCGACCAACCGGTCAGCTGCGCCAGCTTGATCCCATGCCGCGTAACGCAAGCCACGTTAGTTTCTCGTTGGTTCTTGCGTGCTGTGGGGCCACGTTCGCAGGCCAGGTCTTCATGATGCCAAGTTCGTCTCCCAATCACCGCTTGACCAGGTTGCCCACCCTGCGCGGTTCTAGCCCATTGAAGGATCAGGCTGGCAGTCGTTCTACATCGAGTAGCTCTGCGGCATGGTGTGGCGCAGCCGGTATCCTTGCTATCGCAGTTGCGGGGTATGGGCGCAGTGTCGGAAACGAGCGCAGGAAGGCCGTACGACCCAGCAATTTCCAGTGCAGCAGGCGTGATGGCTCCCCTCGGATTCTGACCCAGCGGCTTAAGCAAGGGAAAGGATGAGCAGGATTCCGCAATATCAGGGTAGCTTGAGCTCAAACACGGCCAGAGTGGCGATGATGGCTTCGGTTCGGAAATGGTCCTGCCGCATTTTTGGAATCTCCGGGTTTCAGGGGAACGTGCCTTCTGGGCATTGGACGTCTTCACAGAGCGGCGGTGCCGGCGTGTTGCACTGTTCTTGGGGCGGGCTTTGCACGAGCTGGTTTTGTGGAAAGGATGACGCCTCCAAAGATGCTGGTGATTTCGGCGATCCCTTCAGATTCAGCGAGTCGATCAATGTGGATCGGAATTACGAGATCAACAACGGTCGCATGGCAATGTTTGCGGTGCTAGGTCAGATCATTGCCGAGCTCGCCACGGGAAACGACGCAGTGAGTCAATTGATGGGCTAGTTTTCTATGTTAGTCTTGGACAGGTCAAGTCGTGGTTCAACGCTCTCCGCCTTACAGGTGCCACGCATTTTTCGTTCCGGGGGTTTTCGCATCCTCATTTTCAATTCGACAGTCACCTTGTGACGCTGACCTTACTCAGGATGCTTGCGCTATTCCGCCGACTCCCATAAAATGGAGAGGGAGGAAGGGGATGAAATGAACGACGTTGACGAAGTTGGTCTGGTCGGTTTTTGTTCCCCCTCTTGGGGCTTTTTCGGGCACCTCTTGGGGCAGCCTTGCAAGGGGCCTCTTTCGGCCGTCTTGGGGCGATCTTCCCCAATCAGTGCTTGCACTGAAGGGGTCCTAGCAGAAGTTGAATTTCCCGCCGATTTTGGTAGCAGGTTGGGTTCCCGGGTTCCCAGTTCCCGGGTTCCCGGGTTCTCGGTTATTGGTTCGGGCCGATTTCGGTGGGTTCTGGGTTCTTGGGCTCCCAGGTTCCCAGTCGATCCCTCCAGCGAAAACCATCCACTGATTGGGGCTTCTCTCTGGTGTAATTTAAGGTTTTCGGGTCGTTTTGGGGCATCGGAAACATTGAGAAGGCGATGACGCGTTGACTTCTTCAAAGCCTAGGGATAATCTATGTTTTTGGCCTCGTGGGGGACCTCTTGGAGAGCTCTTGGGGTGTATTGGGGGCCCTTTGGGCCGCCTGGATCACGCGTTGAGCGTCTTGGCGCTCTTGGGCCGTCTCGGAGCTCTCTTGGCCCGTCCCGTGGCCTTCTTGGGGTCCTACTGGCCCGTCTTGGAGCGCTCTTTTCCCCTTCCGAGGGCCCCCGAAGGGCGTTGGCGAGCTCGTGCGCCCCCTTTCGCCTCGCCGCCTCGCCCCCCCATCGCCTCCCTCTAGCAGGATCCTAGACCCCGGGGGAGGGGGACAGCCGATCATCTCATGCGCCTTTGCGCCCCAGGCAAGCGGGGGTCGGCGGATACCGCGGCAGCTTGCTGGCGCGCCCATGTCGTGGCTCTCGTTCAGCACAGTCCTGCCCGCAAGCCATCGCTGATCACGGCAAGGTCTGCTTTCATCGCTCGCTTTGTTGGGCGCGTGCGTTCAGTTTTCAGAGGCCCGTGCTTGCGCGCCGTCCGAGGGGCGACTTGCCGCTGGCAGTTGGTCGGTGGCTCGGTGGGCTCTGCTGGTCAGGTGGACCGTCCAGCGCCGGCCCCGGCGCCAGCCCCTGGCCCGGCACCTGCCCCTGGGGCCGTCTCACGGCACGTCGGAAGTTTGTGCCGTTTTGGACGCCTTCAGGGCCGAAAAATGCCAGGACGCGGAGGTCACGCACGCGCGCGCACGCACGCGCGCCGCGCTTTTCGGAAAGAGTTCGCCTTCCATGGCCAGAGATGAGGGGCTCGAATGCGGGCCAAGAGGCCCCCGAGACGGCTCCAGCTTCGGCCCCTGGGGCCATCTCGCAGCATGCTGGAAGTTTGGATTCCACGCCGCGCCACATGTCAGTTCGAGGCCACACTCCCATCTCCCACCAGGGACAGCGGCCTCTCTCTGTCTCTCTCTCTCTCTCTTTCTCTTTCTCTCACTCTCTCTCTCTCTCTCTTTCTCTCTCTCTCTCTCTCTCTCGCATTCTTTCGTGTCTCGCTCCCTCCCCCTCTCTAGGACGACTCCTGAGTCCTCTAGGACGCCTCCTGGACGCCTCCATCTTGACCTCGACAGGCCCGCCTGGACCTCGCTCGACAGGCCTCCCCCAGACGGTCCAAAGTGGCGTCGAATAAGAATTACACCGTAAGGGTGTAAACTTTCCAGCCGCCCAGGGTCAGGCGCCCCCGACAACGAAAAAGTTTATGTTATACCGTTCTTCGCTCGCTGAAAAAAGCAGGACGCGGCAAGGCTAGGCAGGGCGAGACAGAGCTGGCACAAGGTGGCCCCAAGACGGTGCCCATCCCGCCGCCGTGGCCGGGTCGTGGGCCAGAGGCTCTTCGGATGCTTCCAGCGGTCTGGCGGCAGCTTTTCTGCCGTTCGTCGGGCTGTCTTTGAGGCCTCTTGGGCACCTCTTGGGAGCATCGGTGGCGGTCGTGGGGCGGTCTTGGGGACCCTGGGCCGTTCTGCACGCTCTTGAGGCCGAAAAGGCAAGAACGCGAAGTCATGCCCAAGCCGCGGATGTCTGAACGATTTGAATTTGGGCCAGCCTTGCTCGGCGCGAACACGGCCCAAGAAGCTCCCAAGAAAGTTCCAGCACGGGTCCGCAGCTCTTTCTTTTTTATCTTTATTTTTTTTTTTTTTTTTATTTTTTTTTTTTTTTTTTTTTTTTCTTCTTTGTTTTCTACTCCCGTTTTTTTTTTTTCTTGTTTTCGGCTCACGTTGCAGTGTTTCATTGTTTCCGCTCACGCATTGACCAACTTGTTCAGCTGCGCCAGCTGGATCCCATGCCGCGTACCGCAAAGCCACGTTCGTTTTCTCGTTGGTCTTGCGTGTGCTGTGGGGCCACGTTCGCAGGCCAGGTCTTAATGATGCAAGTCGTCTCCCAAATCACCGCTTGACAGGTTGCCACCCTGCGCCGGTTCTAGCCCATTGAAGGATCAGGCTGGAAGGAGTTCTCTAACATCGAGTAGGCTCTGCGGGCATGGTTGCTGGCGCAGCCGGTATCCTTGCTATCGCAGTTGCGGGGTTTGGGCGCAGTGTCGGAACGAGCGCCAGGAAGGCGTTCGACCCGGCAGTGCAGCAGGGCGTGACCGAGCCTCTCGGATTCTTTGACCCAGCCGGCTTCAGCAAGGGCAAGGAAGAGGCAGGATTCCGCAATCTCAGGGTAGCTGAGCTCAAACACGGCAGAGTGGCGATGATGGCTTCGGTCGGAATGGTCCTGCCGCATTTTTGGAAGGCTCCCGGTTTTCAGGACGTGCCTTCTGGCATTGGAGCCGTCTTCACAGAAGCGGGCGGTGCCGGCTTTGTTGCACTGTTCTTGGGGGGGGCTTGCACGAGCTGGTTCTGTGGAAGGATGACGCCTCCAAAGACGCTGGTGATTTTCGGCGATCCCTTCAGATTCAGCGAGTCGATCAATGTGGATCGGAATTACGAGATCAACAACGGTCGCATGGCAATGTTTGCGGTGCTAGGTCAGATCATTGCCGAGCTCGCCACGGGGAAAGACGCAGTGAGTCAATTGATGGGCTAGTTTTCTATGTTAGTCTTGGACAGGTCAAGTCGTGGTTCAACGCTCTCCGCCTTACAGGTGCCACGCATTTTTCGTTCCGGGGGTTTTCGCATCCTCATTTTCAATTCGACAGTCACCTTGTGACGCTGACCTTACTCAGGATGCTTGCGCTATTCCGCCGACTCCCATAAATGGAGAGGGAGGAAGGGGATGAAATGAACGACGTTGACGAAGTTGGTCTGGTCGGTTTTTGCCCCCTTTCTTGGGTCTTTTTCGGGCACCTCTTGGGGCAGCCTTGTGCTGTTCCAAGGGAGGGGCCTCTTCGGCCGTCTTGGGGCGATCTTCCCCAATCAGCGCTTGCACTGAAGGGGTCCTAGCGGAAGTTGAATTTCCCGGCGATTTTGGTAGCAGGTTGGGTTCCCGGGTGGCCAGTTCCGGGTTCCCGGGTTCCCGGTTATTGGTTCGGGCCGATTTCGGTGGGTTCTGGGTTCTTGGGCTCCCAGGTTCCCGGTCGATCTTTCCAGCGAAAACCATCCATTGATTGGGGCTTCTCTCTGGTGTAATTTAAGGTTTTTCGGGTCCGTCTGGGGCATCGGAAACATTGAGAAGGCGATGACGCGTTGACTTCTTCAAAGCCTAGGGATAATCTATGTTTTTGGCCTCGTGGGGGACCTCTTGGAGAGCTCTTGGGGTGTATTGGGGGCCCTTTGGGCCGCCTGGAGGACGCGTTGAGCGTCTTGGCGCTCTTGGGCCGTCTCGGAGCTCTCTTGGCCCGTCCCGTGGCCTTCTTGGGCTCCTACTGGCCCGTCTTGGAGCGCTCTTTTCCCCTTCCGAGGGCCCCCGAAGGGCGTTGGCGAGCTCGTGCGCCCCCTTTCCCCTCGCCCCAGCCGATCATCTCATGCGCCTTTGCTCCCCAGGCAAGCGGGGGTCGGCGGATACCGCAGCAGCTTGCCGGCGCGCCCATGTCGTGGCTCTCGTTCAGCACAGTCCTGCCCGCAAGCCATCGCTGATCACGGCAAGGTCTGCTTTCATCGCTCGCTTTGTTGGGCGCGTGCGTTCAGTTTTCAGAGGCCCGGGCTTGCGCGCCGTCCGAGGGGCGACTTGCCGCTGGCAGTTGGTCGGTGGCTCGGTGGGCTCTGCTGGTCAGGTGGACCGTCCAGCGCCGGCCCCGGCGCCAGCCCCTGGCCCGGCGCTTGCCCCTGGGGCCGTCTCACGGCACGTCGGAAGTTTGTGCCGTTTTGGACGCCCTCAGGGCCGAAAAATGCCAGGACGCGGAGGTCATGTCACGCACGCGCGCGCACGCGCGCCGCGCTTTTCGGAAAGAGTTCGCCTTCCATGGCCAGAGATGAGGGGCTCGAATGCGGGCCAAGAGGCCCCCGAGACGGCTCCAGCTTCGACCCCTGGGGCCATCTCGCAGCATGCTGGAAGTTTGGATTCCACGCCGCGCCACATGTCAGCTCGGGGCCACACTCCCAATTCCCACCAGGGACAGCGGCCTCTCTCTGTCTCTCTCTCTCTCTCTCTCTTTCTCTTTCTCTCTCTCTCTCTCGCACTCTTTCGTGTCTCGCTCCCTCCCCTTCTCTAGGACGACTCCTGAGTCCTCTAGGACGCCTCCTGGACGCCTCCATCTTGACCTCGACAGGCCCGCCTGGACCTCGCTCGACAGGCCTCCCCCAGACGGTCCAAAGTGGCGTCGAATAAGAATTACACCGTAGGGGTGTAAACTTTCCAGCCGCCCAGTGACAGGCGCCCCCGACAGCGAAAAAGTTTATGTTATACCGTTCTTCGCTCGCTGAAAAAAGCAGGACGCGGCAAGGCGAGGCAGGGCGAGACAGAGCTGGTACAAGGTGGCCCCAAGACGGTGCCCATCCCGCCGCCGTGGCCGGGTCGTGGGCCAGAGGCTTTTCGGATGCTTCCAGCGGTCTGGTGGCGGCTTTTCTGCCGTTCGTCGGGCTGTCTTTGAGGCCTCTTGGGCCCCTCTTGGGAGCATCGGGGGCGGTCGTGGGGCGGTCTTGGGGACCCTGGGCCGTATGCCTGAACGGTTTGAATTTGGGCCAGCCTTGCTCGGCGCGAACACGGCCCAAGAAGCTCCCAAGACAGTTCCAGCACGGGTCCGTAGCTTTCTGGCTCAAGTTGCATTGTGTTCATTAGTTGCGTTCAACGCATTCGACCAACTTGTCAGCTGCGCCAGCTTGATCCCATGCCGCGTAACGCAAGCCACGTTAGTTTCTCGTTGGTTCTTGCGTGCTGTGGGGCCACGTTCGCAGGCCAGGTCTTCATGATGCCAAGCTCGTCTCCCAATCACCGCTTGACCAGGTTGCCCACCCTGCGCGGTTCTAGCCCATTGAAGGATCAGGCTGGCAGTCGTTCTACATCGAGTAGCTCTGCGGCATGGTGTGGCGCAGCCGGTATCCTTGCTATCGCCTTGCTATCGCAGTTTTGCGGGGTAATGGGCGCAGTGTCGGAACGAGCGCCAGGTAAGGCGTTCGACCCCGGCATGCAGCAGGGCGTGACCGAGCCTCTCGATTTTTGACCAGCCGGCTGCAACAGCAAGGGCAAGATGACCGGCATTCCCCGCAATCCTCAGGGTAGCTGAGGCTCAAACCGGGCAGAGTGGCGATGATGGCTTCGTGGTCGGAATTGTCCTGCGCATTTTTTGGAAGGCTCCGGTTTTCATGACGTTGCCCTTCTGGCATTGGAGCCGTCTTCACATAAGCGGGCGGTGCCGGCTTTGTTGCACTGTTCTTGGGGGGGCGGGGCTTGCACGAGCTGGTTGCTTGGAAGGATTAGCCTCGAAGGCGCCGCTGGGTGATTTCTGCGATCGATCGAGATTCAGCGAGTCGATCACCTGTGGATCGGATACGAGATCAACAACGGTCGCATGCAATGTTGCGGTGGCTAGGTCAGATCATTGCCGAGCATCGCCACGGGAAGACCAGTAGTCAATTGATGGGCTAGTTTTCTATGTTAGTCTTGGACAGGTCAAGTCGTGGTTCAACGCTCTCCGCCTTACAGGTGCCACGCATTTTTCGTTCCGGGGGTTTTCGCATCCTCATTGTCAATTCGACAGTCACCTTGTGACGCTGACCTTACTCAGGATGCTTGCGCTATTCCGCCGATTCCCATAATATCGAGAGGGAGGAAGGGGATGAAATGAACGACGTTGACGAAGTTGGTCTGGTCGGTTTTTGCCCCCTTTCTTGGGTCTTTTTCGGGCACCTCTTGGGGCAGCCTTGTGCTGTTCCAAGGGAGGGGCCTCTTCGGCCGTCTTGGGGCGATCTTCCCCAATCAGCGCTTGCACTGAAGGGGTCCTCGCGGAAGTTGAATTTCCCGGCGATTTTGGTAGCAGGTTGGGTTCCCGGGTTGCCAGTTCCGGGTTCCCGGGTTCCCGGTTATTGGTTCGGGCCGATTTCGGTGGGTTTTGGGTTCTTGGGCCCCAAGGTTCCCGGTCGATCTCTCCAGCGAAAACCATCCACTGATTGGGGCTTCTCTCTGGTGTAATTTAAGGTTTTTCGGGTCGTTCTGGGGCACCGGAAACATTGAGAAGGCGATGACGCGTTGATTTCTTCAAAGCCTAGGGATAATTTATGTTTTTGGCCTCGTGGGGGACCTTGCTCTTGGGCCGTCTCGGAGCTCTCTTGGCCCGTCCTGTGGCCTTCTTGGGGTCCTACTGGCCCGTCTTGGAGCGCTCTTTTCCCCTTCCGAGGGCCCCCGAAAGGCGTTGGCGAGCTCGTGCGCCCCCTTTCCCCTCGCCCCCTCGCCCCCCCACCGCCTCCCTCTACCAGGATCCTGAACCCCGGGGGAGGGGGGAAGGGGGAAGGGGGACAGCCGATCATCTCATGCGCCTTTGCGCCCCAGGCAAGCGGGGGTCGGCGGATCCCGCGGCAGCTTGCTGGCGCGCCCATGTCGTGGCTCTCGTTCAGCACAGTCCTGCCCGCAAGCCATCGCTGATCACGGCAAGGTCTGCTTTCATCGCTCGCTTTGTTGGGCGCGTGCGTTCAGTTTTCAGAGGCCCGTGCTTGCACGCCGTCTGAGGGGCGACTGGCCGCTGGCAGTTGGTCGGTGGCTCGGTGGGCTCTGCCGGTCAGGTGGACCGTCCAGCGCCGGCCCCGGCGCCAGCCCCTGGCCCGGCACCTGCCCCTGGGGCCGTCTCACGGCACGTCGGAAGCTTTTTTCTTGTTTGTTTATGTTAGTTTTGCTATTTCGTTTGTTTTTTTTTTTTGCATGCTTGTGTTGGGCTTTGGGACGCCCTCAGGGCCGAAAAAGCCAGGCGCGGAGGTCACGCACGCGCGCGCACGCACGCAGCGCCGCGTTTTTTTTCGGAAAGAGTTCGCTTCCCCGTGGCCAGGAAATGAGCGCAAAACTCCAGACCTCAGTTCCCGAACAGGCCCGAGACGGCTCCAGCTTCGAGCCCTGGGGCCATGCTCGCAGCATGCGGGAAGTTGGATTCAACGCCGCGCCACATGTCAGTTCGAGGCCACACTCCCAATTCCCACCAGGGACAGCGGCCTCTCCCTGTCTCTCTCTCTCTCTCTCTCTCTCTTTATCTTTATCTTTCTCTCACTCTCTCTCTCTCTCTCTCTCTCTTTCTCTCTCTCTCTCGCACTTTTTCGTGTCTCGCTCCCTCCCCCTCTCTAGGACGACTCCTGAGTCCTCTAGGACGCCTCCTGGACGCCTCCATCTTGACCTCGACAGGCCCGCCTGGACCTCGCTCGACAGGCCTCCCCCAGACGGTCCAAAGTGGCGTCGAATAAGAATTACACCGTAAGGGTGTAAACTTTCCAGCCGCCCAGGGACAGGCGCCCCCGACAACGAAAAAGTTTATGTTATACCGTTCTTCGCTCGCTGAAAAAAGCAGGACGCGGCAAGGCGAGGCAGGGCGAGACAGAGCTGGCACAAGGTGGCCCCAAGACGGTGCCCATCCCGCCGCCGTGGCCGGGTCGTGGGCCAGAGGCTTTTCGGATGCTTCCAGCGGTCTGGCGGCGGCTTTTCTGCCGTTCGTCGGGCTGTCTTTGAGGCCTCTTGGGCCCCTCTTGGGAGCATCGGTGGCGGTCGTGGGGCGGTCTTGGGGACCCTGGGCCGTTCTGGACGCTCTTGAGGCCGAAAAGGCAAGAACGCGAAGTCATGCCCAAGCCGCGGATGTCTGAACGATTTGAATTTGGGCCAGCCTTGCTCGGCGCGAACACGGCCCAAGAAGCTCCCAAGACAGTTCCAGCACGGGTCCGTAGCTTTCTGGTTCAAGTTGCATTGTGTTCATTAGTTGCGTTGAACGCATTCGACCAACCGGTCAGCTGCGCCAGCTTGATCCCATGCCGCGTAACGCAAGCCACGTTAGTTTCTCGTTGGTTCTTGCGTGCTGTGGGGCCACGTTCGCAGGCCAGGTCTTCATGATGCCAAGCTCGTCTCCCAATCACCGCTTGACCAGGTTGCCTACCCTGCGCGGTTCTAGCCCATTGAAGGATCAGGCTGGCAGTCGTTCTACATCGAGTAGCTCTGCGGCATGGTGTGGCGCAGCCGGTATCCTTGCTATCGCAGTTGCGGGGTATGGGCGCAGTGTCGGAACGAGCGCCAGGAAGGCGTTCGACCCGGCAGTGCAGCAGGGCGTGACCGAGCCTCTCGGATTCTTTGACCCAGCCGGCTTCAGCAAGGGCAAGGATGAGGCAGGATTCCGCAATCTCAGGGTAGCTGAGCTCAAACACGGCAGAGTGGCGATGATGGCTTCGGTCGGAATGGTCCTGCCGCATTTTTGGAAGGCTCTCGGTTTTCAGGACGTGCCTTCTGGCATTGGAGCCGTCGTCACAGAAGCGGGCGGTGCCGGCTTTGTTGCATTGTTCTTGGGGGCGGGCTTGCACGAGCTGGTTCTGTGGAAGGATGACGCCTCCAAAGACGCTGGTGATTTCGGCGATCCCTTCAGATTCAGCGAGTCGATCAATGTGGATCGGAATTACGAGATCAACAACGGTCGCATGGCAATGTTTGCGGTGCTAGGTCAGATCATTGCCGAGCTCGCCACGGGAAAAGACGCAGTGAGTCAATTGATGGGCTAGTTTTCTATGTTAGTCTTGGACAGGTCAAGTCGTGGTTCAACGCTCTCCGCCTTACAGGTGCCACGCATTTTTCGTTCCGGGGGTTTTCGCATCCTCATTTTCAATTCGACAGTCACTTTGTGACGCTGACCTTACTCAGGATGCTTGCGCTATTCCGCCGACTCCCATAAAATGGAGAGGGAGGAAGGGGATGAAATGAACGACATTGACGAAGTTGGTCTGGTCGGTTTTTCCCCCCTTTCTTGGGTATTTTTCGGGCACCTCTTGGGGCAGCCTTGTGCTGTTCCAAGGGAGGGGCCTCTTCGGCCGTCTTGGGGCGATCTTCCCCAATCAGCGCTTGCACTGAAGGGGTCCTCGCGGAAGTTGAATTTCCCGGCGATTTTGGTAGCAGGTTGGGTTCCCGGGTTGCCAGTTCCGGGTTCCTTGGTTCCCGGGTTCCCGGTTATTGGTTCGGGCCGATTTCGGTGGGTTTTGGGTTTTTGGGCCCCCAGGTTCCCGGTCGATCTCTCCAGCGAAAACCATCCACTGATTGGGGCTTCTCTCTGGTGTCATTTAAGGTTTTTCGGGTCCGTTTGGGGCATCGGAAACATTGAGAAGGCGATGATGCGTTGACTTCTTCAAAGCCTAGGGATAATCTATGTGTTTGGCCTCGTGGGGGACCTCTTGGAGAGCTCTTGGGGTGTATTGGGGGCCCTTTGGGCCGCCTGGAGGACGCGTTGAGCGTCTTGGCGCTCTTGGGCCGTCTCGGAGCTCTCTTGGCCCGTCCCGTGGCCTTCTTGGGGTCCTACTGGCCCGTCTTGGAGCGCTCTTTTCCCCTTCCGAGGGCCCCCGAAGGGCGTTGGCGAGCTCGTGTGCCCCCTTTCCCCTCGCCCCAGCCGATCATCTCATGCGCCTTTGCGCCCCAGGCAAGCGGGGGTCGGCGGATCCCGCAGCAGCTTGCCGGCGCGCCCATGTCGTGGCTCTCGTTCAGCACAGTCTTGCCCGCAAGCCATCGCTGATTACGGCAAGGTCTGCTTTCATCGCTCGCTTTGTTGGGCGCGTGCGTTCAGTTTTCAGAGGCCCGGGCTTGCGCGCCGTCCGAGGGACGACTTGCCGCTGGCAGTTGGTCGGTGGCTCGGTGGGCTCTGCCGGTCAGGTGGACCGTCCAGCGCCGGCCCCGGCGCCATTTCCTGGCCCGGCACCTGCCCCTGGGGCCGTCTCACGGCACGTCGGAAGTTTGTGCCGTTTTGGACGCCCTCAGGGCCGAAAAATGCCAGGACGCGGAGGTCACGCACGCGCGCGCACGCACGCGCGCCGCGCTTTTCGGAAAGAGTTCGCCTTCCAGGGCCAGAAATGAGGGGCTCGAATGCGGGCCAAGAGGCCCCCGAGACGGCTCCAGCTTCGGCCCCTGGGCAGCATGCTGGAAGTTTGGATTCCACGCCGCGCCACATGTCAGCTCGGGGCCACACTCCCAATTCCCACCAGGGACAGCGGCCTCTCTCTGTCTCTCTCTCTCTCTCTCTCTTTCTCTTTCTCTTTCTCTCTCTCTCTTTCTCTTTCTCTTTCTCTCTCTCTCTCTCTCTTTCTCTCTCTCGCACTCTTTCGTGTCTCGCTCCCTCCCCCTCTCTAGGACGACTCCTGAGTCCTCCAGGACGCCTCCTGGACGCCTCCATCTTGACCTCGACAGGCCCGCCTGGACCTCGCTCGACAGGCCTCCCCCAGACGGTCCAAAGTGGCGTCGAATAAGAATTACACCGTAAGGGTGTAAACTTTCCAGCCGCCCAGGGACAGGCGCCCCCCGAACAGCGAAAAAGTTTAATGTATACCGTTTCTTCGTCGCTGAAAAAAAGCAGGACGCGCAAGGCGAGGCAGGGCGAGACAGAGCTTGTACAAGGTGGCCCCAGACTGTGCCCATCCCCGCCGCCGTGGCCGGTCCGTGGGCCATAGGTTTTCGGAATGCACTTCCATCTGTCTGTTGCGGGCTTTTCTGCTGTTCGTCGGGCTGTCTTTTGAGGCATCTTGGGCCCCTCTTGGGAGCATCGGGGGCGGTCGTGGGGCGGTCTTGGGGACCCTGGCCCGGATGTCTGAACGTTTTTGACTTTGGGCCAGCCTTGCTCGGCGCACACACGGATAATCGGCCCAAGAGGCTCCCAAGACGGCTCCAGCACTGGTCCGTAGCTTTCTGGATCGAGTTGCATTGTGTTCATTAGTTGCGCTCAACGCGTTCGACCAACCTGTCAGCGGCGTCAGCTTGATCCCATGCCGCGTAACGCAAGCCACGCTAGTTTCTCGTTGGTTCTTGCTTGCTGTGGGGCCACGTTCGCAGGTCAGGTCTTCATGATGCCAAGCTCGTCTCCCAATCACCGCTTGGCCAGGGTGCCTGCCCTGCGCGGTTCTAGCCCTTGGAAGGATCAGGCAGGCAGTCGCTCCACATCGAGCAGCACTGCGGCACGGTGTGGCGCAGCCGGTGTCCTCGCTATCGCAGCTGCGGGGTACGGACGCAGTGTCGGACCGAGCGCCAGGAAGGCGTTCGACCCGGCAGTGCAGCAGGGCGTGACCGAGCCCCTCGGATTCTTCGACCCAGCCGGTTTCAGCAAGGGCAAGGATGAGGCAGGATTCCGCAAGCTCAGGGTCGCTGAGCTCAAACACGGCAGAGTGGCGATGATGGCTTCGGTCGGAATGGTCCTGCCGCATTTTTGGACGGCTCCCGGTTTTCAGGACGTGCCCTCTGGCATCGGAGCCGTCCTCACAGAAGCGGGCGGTGCCGGCTTTGTTGCATTATTCTTGGGGGCGGGCTTGCACGAGCTGGTTCTGTGGAAGGATGACGCCTCCAAAGATGCTGGTGATTTCGGCGTCCCTTCAGAATTCAGCGTATTCGATCAATGTGGATCGGAATTACGAGATCAACAACGGTCGCATGGCATGGTTTTGCGGTGCTAGGATCAATAATTGCCGATTCGCCACGGGAAAGACGCAGTGAGGTCATTGATGGGCTAGTTTTCCTAATGTTAGTCTTGGACAGGTCAAGTCGTGGTTCAACGCTCTCCGCCTTACAGGTGCCACGCATTTTTCGTTCCGGGGGTTTTCGCATCCTCATTTTCAATTCGACAGTCACTTTGTGACGCTGACCTTACTCAGGACGCTTGCGCTATTCCGCCGACTCCCATAAAATGGAGAGGGAGGAAGGGGATGAAATGAACGACGTTGACGAAGTTGGTCTGGTCGGGTTTTGCCCCTTTCTTGGGTCTTTTTCGGGCACCTCTTGGGGCAGCCTTGTGCTGTTCCAAGGGAGGGGCCTCTTCGGCCGTCTTGGGGCGATCTTCCCCAATCAGCGCTTGCACTGAAGGGGTCCTAGCGGAAGTTGAATTTCCCGGCGATTTTGGTAGCAGGTTGGGTTCCCGGGTTGCCAGTTCCGGGTTCCCGGGACCTCTTGGAGAGCTCTTGGGGTGTATTGGGAGCCCTTTGGGCCGCCTGGAGGACGCGTTGAGCGTCTTGGCGCTCTTGGGCCGTCTCGGAGCTCTCTTGGCCCGTCCCGTGGCCTTCTTGGGGCCCTACTGGCCCGTCTTGGAGCGCTCTTTTCCCCTTCCGAGGGCCCCCGAAGGGCGTTGGCGAGCTCGTGCGCCCCCTTTCCCCTCGCCCCAGCCGATCATCTCATGCGCCTTTGCGCCCCAGGCAAGCGGGGGTCGGCGGATCCCGCAGCAGCTTGCCGGCGCGCCCATGTCGTGGCTCTCGTTCAGCACAGTCCTGCCCGCAAGCCATCGCTGATCACGGCAAGGTCTGCTTTCATCGCTCGCTTTGTTGGGCGCGTGCGTTCAGTTTTCAGAGGCCCGTGCTTGCACGCCGTCTGAGGGGCGACTGGCCGCTGGCAGTTGGTCGGTGGCTCGGTGGGCTCTGCCGGTCAGGTGGACCGTCCAGCGCCGGCCCCGGCGCCAGCCCCTGGCCCGGCACCTGCCCCTGGGGCCGTCTCACGGCACGTCGGAAGCTTGTGCCGTTTTGGACGCCCTCAGGGCCGAAAAATGCCAGGACGCGGAGGTCACGCACGCGCGCGCACGCACGCGCGCCGCGTTTTTCGGAAAGAGTTCGCCTTCCAGGGCCAGAAATGAGGGGCTCGAATGCGGGCCAAGAGGCCCCCGAGACGGCTCCAGCTTCGGCCCCTGGGGCCATCTCGCAGCATGCTGGAAGTTTGGATTCCACGCCGCGCCACATGTCAGCTCGGGGCCACACTCCCAATTCCCACCAGGGACAGCGGCCTCTCTCTGTCTCTCTCTCTCTCTCTCTCTTTCTCTTTCTCTCTCTCTCTCTCGCACTCTTTCGTGTCTCGCTCCCTCCCCTTCTCTAGGACGACTCCTGAGTCCTCTAGGACGCCTCCTGGACGCCTCCATCTTGACCTCGACAGGCCCGCCTGGACCTCGCTCGACAGGCCTCCCCCAGACGGTCCAAAGTGGCGTCGAATAAGAATTACACCGTAGGGGTGTAAACTTTCCAGCCGCCCAGTGACAGGCGCCCCCGACAGCGAAAAAGTTTATGTTATACCGTTCTTCGCTCGCTGAAAAAAGCAGGACGCGGCAAGGCGAGGCAGGGCGAGACAGAGCTGGTACAAGGTGGCCCCAAGACGGTGCCCATCCCGCCGCCGTGGCCGGGTCGTGGGCCAGAGGCTTTTCGGATGCTTCCAGCGGTCTGGTGGCGGCTTTTCTGCCGTTCGTCGGGCTGTCTTTGAGGCCTCTTGGGCCCCTCTTGGGAGCATCGGGGGCGGTCGTGGGGCGGTCTTGGGGACCCTGGGCCGTATGTCTGAACGGTTTGAATTTGGGCCAGCCTTGCTCGGCGCGAACACGGCCCAAGAAGCTCCCAAGACAGTTCCAGCACGGGTCCGTAGCTTTCTGGCTCAAGTTGCATTGTGTTCATTAGTTGCGTTCAACGCATTTGACCAACTTGTCAGCTGCGCCAGCTTGATCCCATGCCGCGTAACGCAAGCCACGTTAGTTTCTCGTTGGTTCTTGCGTGCTGTGGGGCCACGTTCGCAGGCCAGGTCTTCATGATGCCAAGCTCGTCTCCCAATCACCGCTTGACCAGGTTGCCCACCCTGCGCGGTTCTAGCCCATTAAAGGATCAGGCTGGCAGTCGTTCTACATCGAGTAGCTCTGCGTCATGGTGTGGCGCAGCCGGTATCCTTGCTATCGCAGTTGCGGGGTATGGGCGCAGTGTCGGAACGAGCGCCAGGAAGGCGTTCGACCCGGCAGTGCAGCAGGGCGTGACCGAGCCTCTCGGATTCTTTAACCCAGCCGGCTTCAGCAAGGGCAAGGATGAGGCAGGATTCCGCAATCTCAGGGTAGCTGAGCTCAAGCACGGCAGAGTGGCGATGATGGCTTCGGTCGGAATGGTCCTGCCGCATTTTTGGAAGGCTCCCGGTTTTCAGGACGTGCCTTCTGGCATTGGAGCCGTCTTCACAGAAGCGGGCGGTGCCGGCTTTGTTGCACTGTTCTTGGGGGCGGGCTTGCACGAGCTGGTTCTGTGGAAGGATGACGCCTCCAAAGACGCTGGTGATTTCGGCGATCCCTTCAGATTCAGCGAGTCGATCAATGTGGATCGGAATTACGAGATCAACAACGGTCGCATGGCAATGTTTGCGGTGCTAGGTCAGATCATTGCCGAGCTCGCCACGGGAAAAGACGCAGTGAGTCAATTGATGGGCTAGTTTTCTATGTTAGTCTTGAACAGGTCAAGTCGTGGTTCAACGCTCTCCGCCTTACAGGTGCCACGCATTTTTCGTTCCGGGGGTTTTCGCATCCTCATTTTCAATTCGACAGTCACCTTGTGACGCTGACCTTACTCAGGATGCTTGCGCTATTCCGCCGACTCCCATAAAATGGAGAGGGAGGAAGGGGATGAAATGAACGACGTTGACGAAGTTGGTCTGGTCGGTTTTTGTTCCCCCTCTTCGGGCTTTTTCGGGCACCTCTTGGGGCAGCCTTGCGAGGGGCCTCTTTCGGCCGTCTTGGGGCGATCTTCCCCAATCAGCGCTTGCACTGAAGGGGTCCTAGCGGAAGTTGAATTTCCCGCCGATTATGGTAGCAGGTTGGGTTCCCGGACTGCCAGTTCCGGGTTCCCGGGTTCCCGGGTTCCCGGTTATTGGTTCGGGCCGATTTCGGTGGGTTCTGGGTTCTTGGGCCCCAAGGTTCCCGGTCGATCTCTCCAGCGAAAACCATCCACTGATTGGGGCTTCTCTCTGGTGTAATTTAAGGTTTTTCGGGTCGTTCTGGGGCACCGGAAACATTGAGAAGGCGATGACGTGTTGATTTCTTCAAAGCCTAGGGATTATTTATGTTTTTGGCCTCGTGGGGGACCTCTTGGAGAGCTATTGGGGCGTATTGGGGGCCTTTTGGGCCGCCTGGAGGACGCGTTGAGCGTCTTGGCGCTCTTGGGCCGTCTCGGAGCTCTCTTGGCCCGTCCCGTGGCCTTCTTAGGGCCCTACTGGCCCGTCTTGGAGCGCTCTTTTCCCCTTCCGAGGGCCCTCGAAGGGCGCTGGCGAGCTCGTGCGCCCCCTTCCCCCCTCGCTCCCTCGCCCCCCCACCGTCTCCCTCTAGCAGGATCCTAGACCCCGGGGGGAGGGGGACAGCCGATCATCTCATGCGCCTTCGCGCCCCAGGCAAGCGGGGGTCGGCGGATCCCGCGGCAGCTGGCTGGCGCGCCCATGTCGTGGCTCTCGTTCAGCACAGTCCTGCCCGCAAGCCATCGCTGATCACGGCAAGGTCTGCTTTCATCGCTCGCTTTGTTGGGCGCGTGCGTTCAGTTTTCAGAGGCCCGGGCTTGCGCGCCGTCCGAGGGGCGACTTGCCGCTGGCAGTTGGTCGGTGGCTCGGCGGGCTCTGCTGGTCAGGTGGACCGTCCAGCGCCGGCCCCGGCGCCAGCCCCTGGCCCGGCACCTGCCCCTGGGGCCGTCTCACGGCACGTCGGAAGTTTGTGCCGTTTGGGACGCCCTCAGGGCCGAAAAATGCCAGGACGCGGAGGTCACGCACGCGCGCGCACGCACGCGCGCCGCGCTTTTCGGAAAGAGTTCGCCTTCCAGGGCCAGAAATGAGGGGCTCGAATGCGGGCCAAGAGGCCCCCGAGACGGCTCCAGCTTCGGCCCCTGGGGCCATCTCGCAGCAAGCTGGAAGTTTGGATTCCACGCCGCGCCACATGTCAGCTCGGGGCCACACTCCCAATTCCCACCAGGGACAGCGGCCTCTCTCTGTCTCTCTCTCTCTCTCTCTCTTTCTCTTTCTCTTTCTCTCTCTCTCTTTCTCTTTCTCTTTCTCTCTCTCTCTCTCTCTTTCTCTCTCTCGCACTCTTTCGTGTCTCGCTCCCTCCCCCTCTCTAGGACGACTCCTGAGTCCTCCAGGACGCCTCCTGGACGCCTCCATCTTGACCTCGACAGGCCCGCCTGGACCTCGCTCGACAGGCCTCCCCCAGACGGTCCAAAGTGGCGTCGAATAAGAATTACACCGTAAGGGTGTAAACTTTCCAGCCGCCCAGGGACAGGCGCCCCCGACAGCGAAAAAGCTTATGTTATACCGTTCTTCGCTCGCTGAAAAAAGCAGGACGCGGCAAGGCGAGGCAGGGCGAGACAGAGCTGGTACAAGGTGGCCCCAAGACGGTGCCCATCCCGCCGCCGTGGCCGGGTCGTGGGCCAGAGGCTCTTCGGATGCTTCCAGCGGTCTGGCGGCGGCTGTTCTGCCGTTCGTCGGGCTGTCTTTGAGGCCTCTTGGGCCCCTCTTGGGAGCATCGGGGGCGGTCTTGGGAACCCTGGGCCGTTCTGGACGCTCTTGAGGCCGAACATGCAAGAACGTGAAGTCATGCCCAAGCCGCGGATGTCTGAACGATTTGAATTTGGGCCAGCCTTGCTCGGCGCGAACACGGCCCAAGAAGCTCCCAAGACAGTTCCAGCACGGGTCCGTAGCTTTCTGGCTCAAGTTGCATTGTGTTCATTAGTTGCGTTCAACGCATTCGACCAACCGGTCAGCTGCGTCAGCTTGACCCCATGCCGCGTAACGCAAGCCACGTTAGTTTCTCGTTGGTTCTTGCGTGCTGTGGGGCCACGTTCGCAGGACAGGTCTTCATGATGCCAAGCTCGTCTCCCAATCACCGCTTGACCAGGTTGCCTACCCTGCGCGGTTCTAGCCCATTGAAGGATCAGGCTGGCAGTCGTTCTACATCGAGTAGCTCTGCGGCATGGTGTGGCGCAGCCGGTATCCTTGCTATCGCAGTTGCGGGGTATGGGCGCAGTGTCGGAACGAGCGCCAGGAAGGCGTTCGACCCGGCAGTGCAGCAGGGCGTGACCGAGCCTCTCGGATTCTTTGACCCAGCCGGCTTCAGCAAGGGCAAGGATGAGGCAGGATTCCGCAATCTCAGGGTAGCTGAGCTCAAACACGGCAGAGTGGCGATGATGGCTTCGGTCGGAATGGTCCTGCCGCATTTTTGGAAGGCTCCCGGTTTTCAGGACGTGCCTTCTGGCATTGGAGCCGTCTTCACAGAAGCGGGCGGTGCCGGCTTTGTTGCACTGTTCTTGGGGGCGGGCTTGCACGAGCTGGTTCTGTGGAAGGATGACGCCTCCAAAGACGCTGGTGATTTCGGCGATCCCTTCAGATTCAGCGAGTCGATCAATGTGGATCGGAATTACGAGATCAACAACGGTCGCATGGCAATGTTTGCGGTGCTAGGTCAGATCATTGCCGAGCTCGCCACGGGAAAAGACGCAGTGAGTCAATTGATGGGCTAGTTTTCTATGTTAGTCTTGGACAGGTCAAGTCGTGGTTCAACGCTCTCCGCCTTACAGGTGCCACGCATTTTTCGTTCCGAGGGTTTTCGCATCCTCATTTTCAATTCGACAGTCACCTTGTGACGCTGACCTTACTCAAGATGCTTGCGCTATTCCGCCGACTCCCATGAAATGGAGAGGGAGGAAGGGGATGAAATGAACGACGTTGACGAAGTTGGTCTGGTCGGTTTTTGTTCCCACTCTTGGGGCTTTTTCGGGCACCTCTTGGGGCAGCCTTGTGAGGGGCCTCTTTCGGCCGTCTTGGGGCGATCTTCCCCAATCAGCGCTTGCACTGAAGGGGTCCTCGCGGAAGTTGAATTTCCCGCCGATTTTGGTAGCAGGTTGGGTTCCCGGATTGCCAGTTCCGAGTTCCTTGGTTCCCGGGTTCCCGGTTATTGGTTCGGGCCGATTTCGGTGGGTTCTGGGTTCTTGGGCTCCCAGGTTCCCGGTCGATCTCTCCAGCGAAAACCATCCACTGATTGGGGCTTCTCTCTGGTGTAATTTAAGGTTTTCGGGTCGTTTTGGGGCATCGGAAACATTGAGAAGGCGATGACGCGTTGACTTCTTCAAAGCCTAGGGATAATCAATGTTTCTGGCCTCGTGGGGGACCTCTTGGAGAGCTCTTGGGATGCATTGGGGGCCCTTTGGGCCGCCTGGAGGACGCGTTGAGCGTCCTGGCGCTCTTGGGCCGTCTCGGAGCTCTCTTGGCCCGTCCCGTGGCCTTCTTGGGGCCCTACTGGCCCGTCTTGGAGCGCTCTTTTCCCCTTCCGAGGGCCCCCGAAGGGCGTTGGCGAGCTCGTGCGCCCCCTTTCGCCTCGCCCCCTCGCCCCCCCACCGCCTCCCTCTAGCAGGATTCTAGACCCCGGGGGAGGGGGACAGCCGATCATCTCATGCGCCTTTGCGCCCCAGGCAAGCGGGGGTCGGCGGATCCCGCAGCAGCTTGCTGGCGCGCCCATGTCATGGCTCTCGTTCAGCACAGTCCTGCCCGCAAGCCATCGCTGATCACGGCAAGGTCTGCTTTCATCGCTCGCTTTGTTGGGCGCGTGCGTTCAGTTTTCAGAGGCCCGTGCTTGCGCGCCGTCCGAGGGTCGGTGGCTCGGTGGGCTCTGCCGGTCAGGTGGACCGTCCAGCGCCGGCCCCGGCGCCAGCCCCTGGCCCGGCACCTGCCCCTGGGGCCGTCTCACGGCACGTCGGAAGTTTGTGCCGTTTTGGACGCCCTCAGGGCCGAAAAATGCCAGGACGCGGAGGTCTTGCACGCGCGCGCACGCACGCGCGCCGCGCTTTTCGGAAAGAGTTCGCCTTCCAGGGCCAGAAATGAGGGGCTCGAATGCGGGCCAAGAGGCCCCCGAGACGGCTCCAGCTTCGGCCCCTGGGGCCATCTCGCAGCATGCTGGAAGTTTGGATTCCACGCCGCGCCACATGTCAGCTCGGGGCCACACTCCCAATTCCCACCAGGGACAGCGGCCTCTCTCTGTCTCTCTCTCTCTCTCTCTCTCTTTCTCTTTCTCTCTCTCTCTCTCTCTCTCTCTTTCTCTCTCTCTCGCACTCTTTCGTGTCTCGCTCCCTCCCCCTCTCTAGGACGACTCCTGAGTCCTCTAGGACGCCTCCTGGACGCCTCCATCTTGACCTCAACAGGCCCGCCTGGACCTCGCTCGACAGGCCTCCCCCAGACGGTCCAAAGTGGCGTCGAATAAGAATTACACCGTAGGGGTGTAAACTTTCCAGCCGCCCAGTGACAGGCGCCCCCGACAGCGAAAAAGTTTATGTTATACCGTTCTTCGCTCGCTGAAAAAAGCAGGACGCGGCAAGGCGAGGCAGGGCGAGACAGAGGTGGTACAAGGTGGCCCCAAGACGGTGCCCATCCCGCCGCCGTGGCCGGGTCGTGGGCCAGCGGCTTTTCGGATGCTTCCAGCGGTCTGGCGGCGGCTTTTCTGCCGTTCGTCGGGCTGTCTTTGAGGCCTCTTGGGCCCCTCTTGGGAGCATCGGGGGCGGTCTTGGGAACCCTGGGCCGTTCTGGACGCTCTTGAGGCCGAAAAGGCAAGAACGTGAAGTCATGCCCAAGCCGCGGATGTCTGAACGATTTGGATTTGGGCCAGCCTTGCTCGGCGCGAACACGGCCCAAGAAGCTCCCAAGACAGTTCCAGCACGGGTCCGTAGCTTTCTGGCTCAAGTTGCATTGTGTTCATTAGTTGCGTTCAACGCATTCGACCAACCGGTCAGCTGCGTCAGCTTGACCCCATGCCGCGTAACGCAAGCCACGTTAGTTTCTCGTTGGTTCTTGCGTGCTGTGGGGCCACGTTCGCAGGACAGGTCTTCATGATGCCAAGCTCGTCTCCCAATCACCGCTTGACCAGGTTGCCTACCCTGCGCGGTTCTAGCCCATTGAAGGATCAGGCTGGCAGTCGTTCTACATCGAGTAGCTCTGCGGTATGGTGTGGCGCAGCCGGTATCCTTGCTATCGCAGTTGCGGGGTATGGGCGCAGTGTCGGAACGAGCGCCAGGAAGGCGTTCGACCCGGCAGTGCAGCAGGGCGTGACCGAGCCTCTCGGATTCTTTGACCCAGCCGGCTTCAGCAAGGGCAAGGATGAGGCAGGATTCCGCAATCTCAGGGTAGCTGAGCTCAAACACGGCAGAGTGGCGATGATGGCTTCGGTCGGAATGGTCCTGCCGCATTTCTGGAAGGCTCCCGGTTTTCAGGACGTGCCTTCTGGCATTGGAGCCGTCTTCACAGAAGCGGGCGGTGCCGGCTTTGTTGCACTGTTCTTGGGGGCGGGCTTGCACGAGCTGGTTCTGTGGAAGGATGACGCCTCCAAAGATGCTGGTGATTTCGGCGATCCCTTCAGATTCAGCGAGTCGATCAATGTGGATCGGAATTACGAGATCAACAACGGTCGCATGGCAATGTTTGCGGTGCTAGGTCAGATCGTTGCCGAGCTCGCCACGGGAAAAGACGCAGTGAGTCAATTGATGGGCTAGTTTTCTATGTTAGTCTTGGACAGGTCAAGTCGTGGTTCAACGCTCTCCGCCTTACAGGTGCCACGCATTTTTCGTTCCGGGGGTTTTCGCATCCTCATTTTCAATTCGACAGTCACCTTGTGACGCTGACCTTACTCAAGATGCTTGCGCTATTCCGCCGACTCCCATAAAATGGAGAGGGAGGAAGGGGATGAAATGAACGACGTTGACGAAGTTGGTCTGTTCGGTTTTTGTTCCCACTCTTGGGGCTTTTTCGGGCACCTCTTGGGGCAGCCTTGTGAGGGGCCTCTTTCGGCCGTCTTGGGGCGATCTTCCCCAATCAGCGCTTGCACTGAAGGGGTCCTCGCGGAAGTTGAATTTCCCGCCGATTTTGGTAGCAGGTTGGGTTCCCGGATTGCCAGTTCCGGGTTCCTTGGTTCCCGGGTTCCCGGTTATTTAATCGCTTCGCTCATTCCGCCGGCCCATATTGTCGCACCGTTGTGGGCTAGCCGAGTTTTGGGGCCTCTTGGGGGCTGTTTTGGGGCCTCTTGGGGCCTCTTTTGGGCCTCTTGGGCGCCTCTTGGAGCGTCTTGGGGGCCTCTTGGGGGCCTCTTGGGGCCTTTTTGGGGCCTCCTGGGCGCCTTCTGGGGCGGAGGGCTTGATTTTTCAGTTCTCGGTTCCCCTCTTGAGCCCCTCTTGGGCCCATCTTGGGGCCTCTTGGCCAGTTCCGGGTTCCTTGGTTCCCGGGTTCCCGGTTATTGGTTCGGGCCGATTTCGGTGGGTTTTGGGTTCTTGGGCTCCCAGGTTCCCGGTCGATCTCTCCAGCGAAAACCATCCACTGATTGGGGCTTCTCTCTGGTGTAATTTAAGGTTTTCGGGTCGTTTTGGGGCATCGGAAACATTGAGAAGGCGATGACGCGTTGACTTCTTCAAAGCCTAGGGATAATCTATGTTTTTGGCCTCGTGGGGGACCTCTTGGAGAGCTCTTGGGGTGCATTGGGGGCCCTCTGGGCCGCCTGGAGGACGCGTTGAGCGTCTTGGCGCTCTTGGGCCGTCTCGGAGCTCTCTTGGCCCGTCCCGTGGCCTTCTTGGGGCCTTACTGGCCCGTCTTGGAGCGCTCTTTTCCCCTTCCGAGGGCCCCCGAAGGGCGTTGGCGAGCTCGTGCGCCCCCTTTCCCCTCGCCCCCTCGCCCCCCCACCGCCTCCCTCTAGCAGGATCCTAGACCCCAGGGGAGGGGGACAGTCGATCATCTCATGCGCCTTTGCGCCCCAGGCAAGCGGGGGTCGGCGGATCCCGCGGCAGCTTGCTGGCGCGCCCATGTCGTGGCTCTCGTTCAGCACAGTCCTGCCCGCAAGCCATCGCTGATCACGGCAAGGTCTGCTTTCATCGCTCGCTTTGTTGGGCGCGTGCGTTCAGTTTTCAGAGGCCCGTGCTTGCGCGCCGTCCGAGGGACGACTTGCCGCTGGCAGTTGGTCGGTGGCTCGGTGGGCTCTGCCGGTCAGGTGGACCGTCCAGCGCCGGCCCCAGCGCCAGCCCCTGGCCCGGCACCTGCCCCTGGGGCCGTCTCACGGCACGTCGGAAGTTCGTGCCGTTTGGGACGCCCTCAGGGCCGAAAAATGCCAGGACGCGGAGGTCTTGCACGCGCGCGCACGCACGCGCGCCGCGCTTTTCGGAAAGAGTTCGCCTTCTAGGGCCAGAAATGAGGAGCTCGAATGCGGGCCAAGAGGCCCCCGAGACGGCTCCAGCTTCGGCCCCTAGGGCCATCTCGCAGCATGCTGGAAATTTGGATTCCACGCCGCGCCACATGTCAGTTCGAGGCCACACTTCCAATTCCCACCAGGGACAGCGGCCTCTCCCTGTCTTTCTCTCTCTCTCTCTCTCTTTTTCTCTTTCTCTCACTCTCTCTCTCTCTCTCTTTCTCTCTCTCTCTCTCTCTCGCACTCTTTCGTGTCTCGCTCCCTCTCCCTCTCTAGGACGACTCCTGAGTCCTCTACGCCTCCATCTTGACCTCGACAGGCCCGCCTGGACCTCGCTCGACAGGCCTCCCCCAGACGGTCCAAAGTGGCGTCGAATAAGAATTACACCGTAGGGGTGTAAACTTTCCAGCCGCCCAGGGACAGGTGCCCCCGACAGCGAAAAAGTTTATGTTATACCGTTCTTCGCTCGCTGAAAAAAAGCAGGACGCGGCAAGGCGAGGCAGGGCGAGACAGAGCTGGCACAAGGTGGCCCCAAGACGGTGCCCATCCCGCCGCCGTGGCCGGGTTGTGGGCCAGAGGCTTTTCGGATGCTTCCAGCGGTCTGGCGGCGGCTTTTCTGCCGTTCGTCGGGCTGTCTTTGAGGCCTCTTGGGCCCCTCTTGGGAGCATCGGTGGCGGTCGTGGGGCGGTCTTGGGGACCCTGGGCCGTTCTGGACGCTCTTGAGGCCGAAAAGGCAAGAACGTGAAGTCATGCCCAAGCCGCGGATGTCTGAACGATTTGAATTTGGGCCAGCCTTGCTCGGCGCGAACACGGCCCAAGAAGCTCCCAAGACAGTTCCAGCACGGGTCCGTAGCTTTCTGGCTCAAGTTGCATTGTGTTCATTCGTTGCGTTCAACGCATTCGACCAACTTGTCAGCTGCGCCAGCTTGATCCCATGCCGCGTAACGCAAGCCACGTTAGTTTCTCGTTGGTTCTTGCGTGCTGTGGGGCCACGTTCGCAGGCCAGGTCTTCATGATGCCAAGCTCGTCTCCCAATCACCGCTTGACCAGGTTGCCCACCCTGCGCGGTTCTAGCCCATTGAAGGATCAGGCTGGCAGTCGTTCTACATCGAGTAGCTCTGCGGCATGGTGTGGCGCAGCCGGTATCCTTGCTATCGCAGTTGCGGGGTATGGGCGCAGTGTCGGAACGAGCGCCAGGAAGGCGTTCGACCCGGCAGTGCAGCAGGGCGTGACCGAGCCTCTCGGATTCTTTAACCCAGCCGGCTTCAGCAAGGGCAAGGATGAGGCAGGATTCCGCAATCTCAGGGTAGCTGAGCTCAAGCACGGCAGAGTGGCGATGATGGCTTCGGTCGGAATGGTCCTGCCGCATTTTTGGAAGGCTCCCGGTTTTCAGGACGTGCCTTCTGGCATTGGAGCCGTCTTCACAGAAGCGGGCGGTGCCGGCTTTGTTGCACTGTTCTTGGGGGCGGGCTTGCACGAGCTGGTTCTGTGGAAGGATGACGCCTCCAAAGACGCTGGTGATTTCGGCGATCCCTTCAGATTCAGCGAGTCGATCAATGTGGATCGGAATTACGAGATCAACAACGGTCGCATGGCAATGTTTGCGGTGCTAGGTCAGATCATTGCCGAGCTCGCCACGGGAAAAGACGCAGTGAGTCAATTGATGGGCTAGTTTTCTATGTTAGTCTTGGACAGGTCAAGTCGTGGTTCAACGCTCTCCGCCTTACAGGTGCCACGCATTTTTCGTTCCGGGGGTTTTCGCATCCTCATTTTCAATTTGACAGTCACCTTGTGACGCTGACCTTACTCAGGATGCTTGCGCTATTCCGCCGACTCCCATAAAATGGAGAGGGAGGAAGGGGATGAAATGAACGACGTTGACGAAGTTGGTCTGGTCGGTTTTTGCCCCCTTTCTTGGGTCTTTTTCGGGCACCTCTTGGGGCAGCCTTGTGCTGTTCCAAGGGAGGGGCCTCTTCGGCCGTCTTGGGGCGATCTTCCCCAATCAGCGCTTGCACTGAAGGGGTCCTAGCGGAAGTTGAATTTCCCGGCGATTTTGGTAGCAGGTTGGGTTCCCGGGTTGCCAGTTTCGGGTTCCCGGGTTCCCGGGTTCCCGGTTATTGGTTCGGGCCGATTTCGGTGGGTTCTGGGTTCTTGGGCCCCCAGGTTCCCGGTCGATCTCTCCAGCGAAAACCATCCACTGATTGGGGCTTCTCTCTGGTGTAATTTAAGGTTTTTCGGGTCGTTCTGGGGCACCGGAAACATTGAGGAGGCGATGACGCGTTGATTTCTTCAAAGCCTAGGGGTAATTTATGTTTTTGGCCTCGTGGGGGACCTCTTGGAGAGCTCTTGGGGCGTATGGGCCTTTTGGGCCGCCTGGAGGACGCGTTGAGCGTCTTGGCGCTCATGGGCCGTCTCGGAGCTCTCTTGGCCCGTCCCGTGGCCTTCTTGGGGTCCTACTGGCCCGTCTTGGAGCGATCTTTTCCCCTTCCGAGGGCCCCCGAAGGGCGTTGGCGAGCTCGTGCGCCCCTTTTCCCCTCGCCCCAGCCGATCATCTCATGCGCCTTTGCGCCCCAGGCAAGCGGGGGTCGGCGGATCCCGCAGCAGCTTGCCGGCGCGCCCATGTCGTGGCTCTCGTTCAGCACAGTCCTGCCCGCAAGCCATCGCTGATCACGGCAAGGTCTGCTTTCATCGCTCGCTTTGTTGGGCGCGTGCGTTCAGTTTTCAGAGGCCCGTGCTTGCACGCCGTCTGAGGGGCGACTTGCCGCTGGCAGTTGGTCGGTGGCTCGGTGGGCTCTGCCGGTCAGGTGGACCGTCCAGCGCCGGCCCCGGCGCCAGCCCCTGGCCCGGCACCTGCCCCTGGGGCCGTCTCACGGCACGTCGGAAGTCTGTGCTGTTTTGGACGCCTTCAGGGCCGAAAAATGCCAGGACGCGGAGGTCACGTCACGCACGCGCGCGCACGCACGCGCGCCGCGCTTTTCGGAAAGAGTTCGCCTTCCAGGGCCAGAAATGAGGGGCTCGAATGCGGGCCAAGAGGCCCCCGAGACGGCTCCAGCTTCGGCCCCTGGGGCCATCTCGCAGCATGCTGGAAGTTTGGATTCCACGCCGCGCCACATGTCAGCTCGGGGCCACACTCCCAATTCCCACCAGGGACAGCGGCCTCTCTCTGTCTTTCTCTCTCTCTCTCTCTTTCTCTTTCTCTCTCTCTCTCTCTCTCTTTTTCTCTCTCTCTCTCTCTCTCGCACTCTTTCGTGTCTCGCTCCCTCCCCCTCTCTAGGACGACTCCTGAGTCCTCTAGGACGCCTCCTGGACGCCTCCATCTTGACCTCGACAGGCCCGCCTGGACCTCGCTCGACAGGCCTCCCCCAGACGGTCCAAAGTGGCGTCGAATAAGAATTACACCGTAAGGGTGTAAACTTTCCAGCCGCCCAGGGACAGGCGCCCCCGACAGCGAAAAAGTTTATGTTATACCGTTCTTCGCTCGCTGAAAAAAAGCAGGACGCGGCAAGGCGAGGCAGGGCGAGACAGAGCTGGTACAAGGTGGCCCCAAGACGGTGCCCATCCCGCCGCCGTGGCCGGGTCGTGGGCCAGAGGCTTTTCGGATGCTTCCAGCGGTCTGGCGGCGGCTTTTCTGCCGTTCGTCGGGCTGTCTTTGAGGCCTCTTGGGCCCCTCTTGGGAGCATCGGGAGCGGTCTTGGGGACCCTGGGCCGTTCTGGACGCTCTTGAGGCCGAACATGCAAGAACGCGAAGTCATGCCCAAGCCGCGGATGTCTGAACGATTTGAATTTGGGCCAGCCTTGCTCGGCGCGAACACGGCCCAAGAAGCTCCCAAGACAGTTCCAGCACGGGTCCGTAGCTTTCTGGCTCAAGTTGCATTGTGTTCATTAGTTGCGTTCAACGCATTCGACCAACCGGTCAGTTGCGTCAGCTTAATCCCATGCCGCGTAACGCAAGCCACGTTAGTTTCTCGTTGGTTCTTGCGTGCTGTGGGGCCACGTTCGCAGGACAGGTCTTCATGATGCCAAGCTCGTCTCCCAATCACCGCTTGACCAGGTTGCCTACCCTGCGCGGTTCTAGCCCATTGATGGATCAGGCTGGCAGTCGTTCTACATCGAGTAGCTCTGCGGTATGGCGTGGCGCAGCCGGTATCCTTGCTATCGCAGTTGCGGGGTATGGGCGCAGTGTCGGAACGAGCGCCAGGAAGGCGTTCGACCCGGCAGTGCAGCAGGGCGTGACCGAGCCTCTCGGATTCTTTGACCCAGCCGGCTTCAGCAAGGGCAAGGATGAGGCAGGATTCCGCAATCTCAGGGTAGCTGAGCTCAAACACGGCAGAGTGGCGATGATGGCTTCGGTCGGAATGGTCCTGCCGCATTTCTGGAAGGCTCCCGGTTTTCAGGACGTGCCTTCTGGCATTGGAGCCGTCTTCACAGAAGCGGGCGGTGCCGGCTTTGTTGCACTGTTCTTGGGGGCGGGCTTGCACGAGCTGGTTCTGTGGAAGGATGACGCCTCCAAAGATGCTGGTGATTTCGGCGATCCCTTCAGATTCAGCGAGTCGATCAATGTGGATCGGAATTACGAGATCAACAACGGTCGCATGGCAATGTTTGCGGTGCTAGGTCAGATCGTTGCCGAGCTCGCCACGGGAAAAGACGCAGTGAGTCAATTGATGGGCTAGTTTTCTATGTTAGTCTTTGACAGGTCAAGTCGTGGTTCAACGCTCTCCGCCTTACAGGTGCCACGCATTTTTCGTTCCGGGGGTTTTCGCATCCTCATTTTCAATTCGACAGTCACCTTGTGACGCTGACCTTAAGATGCTTGCGCTATTCCGCCGACTCCCATAAAATGGAGAGGGAGGAAGGGGATGAAATGAACGACGTTGACGAAGTTGGTCTGGTCGGTTTTTGTTCCCCCTCTTCGGGCTTTTTCGGGCACCTCTTGGGGCAGCCTTGCGAGGGGCCTCTTTCGGCCGTCTTGGGGCGATCTTCCCCAATCAGCGCTTGCACTGAAGGGGTCCTAGCGGAAGTTGAATTTCCCGCCGATTATGGTAGCAGGTTGGGTTCCCGGACTGCCAGTTCCGGGTTCCCGGGTTCCCGGGTTCCCGGTTATTGGTTCGGGCCGATTTCGGTGGGTTCTGGGTTCTTGGGCCCCAAGGTTCCCGGTCGATCTCTCCAGCGAAAACCATCCACTGATTGGGGCTTCTCTCTGGTGTAATTTAAGGTTTTTCGGGTCGTTCTGGGGCACCGGAAACATTGAGAAGGCGATGACGTGTTGATTTCTTCAAAGCCTAGGGATTATTTATGTTTTTGGCCTCGTGGGGGACCTCTTGGAGAGCTATTGGGGCGTATTGGGGGCCTTTTGGGCCGCCTGGAGGACGCGTTGAGCGTCTTGGCGCTCTTGGGCCGTCTCGGAGCTCTCTTGGCCCGTCCCGTGGCCTTCTTAGGGCCCTACTGGCCCGTCTTGGAGCGCTCTTTTCCCCTTCCGAGGGCCCTCGAAGGGCGCTGGCGAGCTCGTGCGCCCCCTTCCCCCCTCGCTCCCTCGCCCCCCCACCGTCTCCCTCTAGCAGGATCCTAGACCCCGGGGGGAGGGGGACAGCCGATCATCTCATGCGCCTTCGCGCCCCAGGCAAGCGGGGGTCGGCGGATCCCGCGGCAGCTGGCTGGCGCGCCCATGTCGTGGCTCTCGTTCAGCACAGTCCTGCCCGCAAGCCATCGCTGATCACGGCAAGGTCTGCTTTCATCGCTCGCTTTGTTGGGCGCGTGCGTTCAGTTTTCAGAGGCCCGTGCTTGCGCGCCGTCCGAGGGGCGACTGGCCGCTGGCAGTTGGTCGGTGGCTCGGTGGGCTCTGCTGGTCAGGTGGACCGTCCAGCGCCGGCCCCGGCGCCAGCCCCTGGCCCGGCACCTGCCCCTGGGGCCGTCTCACGGCACGTCGGAAGTCTGTGCCGTTTGGGACGCCCTCAGGGCCGGAAAATGCCAGGACGCGGAGGTCACGCACGCGCGCGCACGCACGCGCGCCGCGCTTTTCGGAAAGAGTTCGCCTTCCAGGGCCAGAAATGAGGGGCTCGAATGCGGGCCAAGAGGCCCCCGAGACGGCTCCAGCTTCGGCCCCTGGGACCATCTCGCAGCATGCTGGAAGTTTGGATTCCACGCCGCGCCACATGTCAGCTCGAGGCCACACGGGGGAGAGACGTACAATGGGGGGGCTCCTCCCAGCCCCCCCCCTTCGGCGGGGAATTGATCAAAGATCAGGGGGCCCTCTTCGATTCGATTCCGTAGGTCATGGCGTTGCTCTTCAGTTTCCCAATTCCCACCAGGGACAGCGGCCTGTCTCTCTCTCTCTCTCTCTTTCTTTTTCTCTCTCTTTCGTGTCTCGCTCCCTCCCCCTCTCTCTCACAGACATGCGGTCTCAGCGTAATTAGGACTCGCCTCCAAAAAGCCCTCGTCGGACCTCTCAGCGGCCTCTTATGCGCGCCTTCTTGTTCCCGGAAAGGGCGCGGGCCCAGGGTTCATTTTTGGTGCGGTAATTTGTCCCAGGTGCCAAGTTCGAAGAGGGCCGGCGGATAAATAACGAAGTCGAAGAGAGTTTGCGGATTACATGTTGAGGATGTACCGAGCGAAACGCTGGTGTTTGAAATTCCGACTGATAAAACACATAGTAAATTAAAGAGTTTCGGTCGT